TGCTTTTCAGAAACGGGGTGGTGGGGGGTGGGGGGGCGGGGGGGCGGGGCAGTCGCGTGCAGGCGGCCGGCCATGTCAGAAACTGCCTTTCGCAAACGCGTTGGGGGGTCAGAAAACGGGGTGGGGGGGGGTGGGGGTGCAGGCGGCCAGCCCATGTCAAAAACTGCTTTCACCAGTTTCCGAATCAGGCGTTCACCAGTTTCCGAATCAGATGTTTGCCAGTTTCCGAATCAGCCGTTCACCAGTTTCCGAATCAGCCGTTTGCCAGTTTCCGAATCAGCCGTTCACCAGTTTCCGAATCAGCCGTTTGCCAGTTTCCGAATCAGCCGTTTGCCGGTTTCCGAATCAGCCGTTCGCTAGTTTCTGAAACATCCGTTTCCTGGTTTCCGAATTTCCCGTTTTCAGTTTCTGATTCAGCCGTCTGGGTTTCTGATTCAGCCGCCCTGGTTTCTGATTCAAGCTTGGTTTCTGATTTTCCCGTCTCGGTTTCTGATTCAGGTCTGGTTTCTGATTCAACCGTTCTGGTTTCTGATTCAACCGTTCTGGTTTCCGAAAATTCCGTCGACCACCAGAATAGCCAACCAAGGAAACCTCAAAGCGGCCATGCTTCTGCCTGCGTTGTTTGGGCACAGGCGAGTCCCTGCAGCGTATTCTGACTGGTGGTGGGGAGGACCGCTGCAAATGGGCCATGCTGTACTTTGAGCAGTTGGCAAATGCTTGTATCTTGAGGATGAGAGCTTTGCTGCTGCTATGGAAGTGGTGCCACCTTGGGGTTCGTTGGCGCCTCATGGTCGCTGCACTCCGGTAGTATCTCTTCCAGTTCTTCGGCCTGCAAGCTAGCAGCAGCTAGCCCCACTCTCTTCAAGAGCATGGCCACATGGAGATTCGCACGTTCACGGGGTCAGGTTCCGAAAGCAGGCTCAACCAAGCGGGGGGGTTGCGAGGATTGCTCTGATGCGGTGTTTGGTTTTTAGGTTCCCGGCTCGGCCCTGCTTCAAGACTACCGAGAGGGGGTGAAAAGCCATTAAATCTTTGTCAAAATCGATAAGCCACGAGTCAAAAACAAACTTGGCTGACGATTGCTTTTTCTGTTTGACGAAGCAAATGCAACTTCCCACACACGAAATCGATGATGCAACGTCTTCAAATCTTTCAATAGCTTGACGAACACAGGCGAATTTCAAAATTTGCACATCTTGTATCCCTGGTTAATTAGTTGTACATAGCAAAATGTTGACATCATCTGCCCCACAGTATGTGATGCTGTGATGCAAGAATTTGTAGTATGCAGCCAATCCAACCATAGTAGTGCGATAGCAATACTTTTTGCAAATGAGTGATGCAACACACTTGCATGTGCTACGCGGCTGTACGCCGCCAAAATATGGAAATGGGGGCGATTTCTGGGCATCCAGCTCGAAGGCCTAAAGTAGCCCCAGCGAGCATCGTCGGTTCCATGTTGTGATCACGAAGACGAGGGAATAAAGGCAGTGTTTTCGGTGCACCCCTGGAACGCCTTGAACGCGCAATAAGCATCATGAGCATCAGGCCTGCGGCACCCACAAGCCGAAATCATCACGTTCATGATTCCAATTCGGGCCGAGGGGGCCGTCCTCCTTCGTCGCGTGCGCTCGCGAAAATCGAGCCGAGGTTGGTGGATTACAGTCAGACAACTCATGTACTGTCCTTCATTTGGACGCATATGTCTACTCTTCGAGCATAGACCCATACTTTGCTGTTGAGCTTGACAGAGACGCTGGCAAGGATGATGGGCCTTCCCCGGCCACCATGGATGCACCTCATCTGCGTATTCTGCAGGGAGGCGTGCAGGTCTTGACTTGTCTTGAGACGTGCCTTGGCAGGTATCCTCCGCGACCTGCGTTTCCTCCACAAGCGCCGGCATCTCCATCCATGCCAAGGTGGTCTTTCTTGGTCATCGGCTCCTTATGATCTGGTTGGCAAGTCGAGCTTGCGAGGGGATTGAGTACTGCAATGGTTTGCAACAGTGCGGAACATATTCTGCGAGAATGTGTTGCGAGCATGCTTGGATTTGTGAAGCCCTGATCTGCTCTTGAGGTTATCCAGAAGAAGCCATGTAAGACATCCGTATTGCTACTTCATGTTGCCGGATGTCAACCGCACTTAGTAGGTTAAAGTGAACAAAGCCAACAGGCTTGGACACCCGCTCCTTGATTCCGCACAATACCCTGGAAACAGGTATGTTTTCCGACAGCTTAGTATTGAGCTTGTTTTCCAGGGGCCCTGGTTTGCATTGCACTCAACACCAAAAAGATGCACGTAGTCTAGGCGTTTCAACACGTGCAAAAAGCATGCAAGCGCCGGACGTGAGTATGACGTCGTCAACCGAAGGTAAACAACTTGCAGCAACCTTAAAACATCTCCATGACTTTCAGCTTAACCAACCTGCAAACCTTTCCAAGGCAGCACAGCAAAACGACCCCCCTAGGTGGAGCTTGGACAACTTGACGGGACAGACGGCGGCCCAAGCCGCTCAGACAGCCGCGCTGGCTGCCGAGCGGATCTCCGCGATCTCCGCAGCTCAGGCTGCCATGGAGGCCATGGAGCGGTCAGCCAAGGCCAAGGCCTTGGAGGCGGCGCGGGTCGCCGAGGCGGCCGCTGCCTCCGCAGCTTTGGCCCAGGCTTCGGCTTTGGGCCCTTTGGGCCCTTTGGGCCCTTTGGGCGCTTTGGGCGCTTTGGGCGCTTGCGGCGCATGGTGTCAGCCGAGTCAGCCGTGCAGACCGGGCTTTCAATCGTCGGTGCCTCCTCAGCCAGCAACTCTGGCCCAGCCTCTCACACAGGCCGGGATGATCCGAATAATGGAAGCTTGGTTAAAGTTGCCTAGGCCAGTCACTAGCAACACTCGAGAAGCGCCCGCAGGTTGCCCCAACAGCAAGGGATGGTAAGCTGATATCCCAGTCGCTTGTGAAATGTGCAGGAGTGGCGCCGTGACAACGAGGCCTGAATGCAGAGACAACGGGAAGCTTTCGTTTACGTTGCCACCTGCGGGAAGGATGCGGCACAGCCGACAAGCTTTCCCCCCTTCGATCAGCCTGATCCCTTGCGTGAGAACCAAAGAGAACCCATGCTTCAGTCGCGATATCGGTAACATTCCACAAGCAAACTGTTGCAAGCGAGTGACGGACGAGGAAACAAGGGATTCGCAGACTATGACCAAGTTCAAGCGCCTGAATGGCCACGTCTCTTGCTCACTTTCTCATTCCTCAGGCTGGACAGTGGCCCCCCCCTGGGCCGCCGACACAGCTTTCACCAGGACACTCTAAGCTTCCTGGGCTCTGATGCACTTGGCACACTTCGTTGCCGGAGCTTGCAGGCTTCTCATGTTCCCTTTTGATGTTGGAAAAATGTGAAAAGATGTCGCCTCTTTTGGCTCAAGACAGCCGTGGAAGGACGGGCCATGAAGGCCGTTTGAAGTGGCTGTGTTTAGTTTCATTTGGACAGGCTTGAGGGGCCAGATCTTCCATGTCGTTGTGAGGACGGAACTTTTGCTGGTATGTTGATGCTGCAAGTCCGTACTGCCATACTCTCCATGCCTTGTCTCGGTCGCTTAATCCGTTTCATCACAGC